CCCCAAAACCCCCAAAACCCCAAAACCCCATCGATTGAAATCAACAAATTTCTCATGTAAATTTATATAGTAATTGATGAGTATCATAAGCAGACTTTTAGTTTTAAACTATTTTATCATTATAAGGATCTTTAATATTTATTGCGCAATTTTTGGAGTACTTTTACTTCATTTTGAGATTATTATCGAACTTAGATTGTTCATTTCTTTGAAACCTATCCAATTTAATTGCACAATGATATACTTATATTATCATTAGGTTTGCTATTCAATTTGCCAATTTCTACAAAAGTCTCTTAAAGGTTAATGTGAGTAAATTATTTTGGAAATAATTTAAGATTGTTTTCTAGAACGAACATAATAATCTTAGATTTAGTAATTTTTTGAATGAAAGTTAACTTTGGTGCCTGAATTATAAACTACCGCTATTCAAATTCTCTTTAAATCTCACTTCTAAGAAAAAGTAGGAATTTTTTTTCTGGTCAGATATTTAAATTTGAGCTCTCTTTACTATTTAAACTCAAAAAATTTAAGTCATATAATCAATTAAAAATTTATATGCAAAAGATCATATTTGCTGCAGCAATCTTGCTCGCTTCTTGTTAAGGAATATAAGTTAGTCAAGCTCTCTAAAAGCAAAGAGGGTAACTTGGATGGAGGTAAGAAGTAACAAATAACTTCACCTGGAATGCTACTCAAGAGCTTAATTGGTCAGTTGTCAATGCTTTCATAGATGTGCAAACATCGCCTGAAGGAGATATTTTCGCTATTCAGAAAATATCTTCAGATGTATCTGATACAAAGTACCATCTCTACAATTACAACATATCATCAAACATTTGGAGTCTTGTCAACAGTAGCTTCCAGGTTAAAGCTGTTAGATTCGACAGACTTGGTAATATTTATTACCTAGACCCTGAGAACTGCGTGAGAAACTCTGAAAAGGTAAAACTTATTTGCGGACTTTCAGACTTTGAAGTTACAGTAAACAAAGAAATTTTGGGACTTCATGATGGTTCAAATCTTCTTTAAACTGATAATCTTTAAAGTACTTACAAAGCAGCACTAGTGAGTCCATTCAAATATAAGGCAATCACTGGTTTCAAAGGAATAACTCTCTTGAGAGATGAACCAATCTTTATAGCAAACGATGGAACTGTTGATGCCAAATACGGAGGTGAAAAGTTAATTAGCATCAGCGCAGGTATTGATGGTTCTCTCTGGGCCTTATTAGATGAAGAAAATGCAGTTGATTACACAGTGCTAAAGTGGCAAACTATCACTTAGAAATGGTACAAAGTAGATGGTGCCAAAGGAGTTTCTCTCTCAGCTTACAATGAAATCTCAGTAGCAATCGTAGATTCTAAAGGACTTTTAAGTTTATCATCTTAAGTTGGCCATTAAAATGAGGCTGACTATACAGCTTCAGTTGTTCAGCCACCAACTAATCCACCAGTCTCAGTTAGACCAGATATTACTTCTTTCACGAGCAACCTTGCTACTTTCGATGATTTTAAATGGTTGTCGACTGTTGTTCCAGGTAAAAACTTTTCAAGATTTGAGCAAAAGTTTCACTCATAATTTGGTGGTTTGACCAGAGAATCTGCTATAAATGCAATTGCTAATATACCAAATTTATTTATGATCTACAAAACCAACTATAGCGCTGTAACCGGATTTTATTTATAGGAATCTTTGCCTGCTACTAATGAAACTCTTGTCATCAAACCAAATTATAATGTTATCTATTCAATTACAAACAGAGTTTCATTTGTACCCACGACCAAAAACATTACTTATTACTAAAACGAGGATATTACTAAACATTTTATTGTCTTATCTGATAAAGCAGCATTGATTTTCCAACCGCACTGTGGTTCCTATAATAATGGGTAATCTAAAGATAACTTCTTTGAAATGCCTCCAAATGAAAATTAGAATAGAGTTATGTCTACAACCCTTACTGGTAATCCTTCTTCTCAATTAGGCTCAGAAAATGTGGCTTGTGTTGAAATAGAATACTATCAAGGTATTATTTGAAAATTCTCTTGATTTATATTGAATTCCATAATGATTAAATGAGGGAAAATAATTATTCACTTAATTTTGTAATGATCATTAATATATAATAAATTCTTTGTCAACATGCTTTTCATTAATGTAATAAATTTTGTATAATCCTACTTTACTTTTTATACATACTTTATTTTCAAACACTGTTAGAACGGGGTTTTGGGGTTTTGGGGTTTTGGGG